CATTGCCTTTTTAGTGCCTTCATATAATAGGCATATGGATTTCAAAATAGAAAAATATTAACACCTTACATTATCCAAGATAAAGAATTCACTGGCAAAACGTGAAACAAAATGGGTGGTAGAGCAAAAGTATCCAAGTACAAATACACAACAACTAAAAATAGCAACACACGTAGCAAGTTTCCCTCCAACCTACACACTATCCTGATTTGAAACATGATTGTTCCTTCACTCATACTGGATCAAACTCCTGGAACTGCCTTCATAGTTGGCAGCTCACTACAACCTTCAAGGGCAAATAGGGATACACTAACACTGGCCAGCAATGATGACATTCCTGAAAAAACTACATCTTCAAAAATATCAATAATGCTGAAACAAAAGTAAACCAAGGAACAGGGTTTACTTTTGAGGGACAGAATTGAAAAGTAGAGAAGTATAGAGGTATTCCTATTATTATGTCACCAAATATGAAAGAATTATCGAGGTACTGAAGAAAATGCAAAAAAGTTTAACTACAATGATACCAGAACTGCAAGGCTACACCAGACAGGATGGATGAACAAGTTGGGTCTCCTTTTAAAAAAAAAGATACAGGTGACAAAAACTTTTTTTGGAATTATGAAAGATTTTGAAAGAGAAGAATGGGCGCATTTCATTATGCAGATAATCCCAATATCTGCCCCAAATTGAGCCACATGGCCACAGGGGCAGGAAGTTAGATCTTGCGTACAGGGTCTAATTAACCACTGCCAGCTTGCTAATAGCAAATGGGCTGGAAATCCTGTTTTCACCAAAGAGTGACACTTTTGGACCATAGTCAGTGCTTATCAGCTTGTATAGCCCCTTCCATGAAGTTACTCACTGTAATCCAACTGCCTGCGCTCCCCTGACTGCACCAGTTTTAACATCCACAGCATGTCACTGGAATGTCTTTTGCAAGTATCCACTGAGTATTAGCAATGCTGTAGGAAATTCTAACATACCGGTGACCTACACTGAGGCAATTATTCATTTCACTGTGAACACTGGTGCTAGGTCATGCACCGTGTGTGGGTTAGCAACCACTTCCAATGTTCCCTAGGTATCTTTTGTGAAAGCTGACAGCTTAGAATTTGAAATTCCACTTAACCAAACAGAAGATCACTACACCACTCCAACCACATCTCTGCGTCCATCAGTGATTTATTGTCATGAAGTGAAGACACTGTAGACAAGGAGCAGGTAACACTGGGATAAAAGTGTCAAACATTCAGATTGAAAAGGAGGTCAAACAAGGGAGTCTTTGCAGTAGGACAGCAACTAACTTCAGTGATAACTCCAAGGAGACTCTCCTCCACACGTGGCAAGATTCCTCTTCCCAGTCGAAAGGAGGCAGCTGTGGTCAGAAAACGAATCCAGAAAAAAAAAGGCATGACTGGAGATTAGAGGAAATGAGTTGTCACAGATAAACAGATGTGGTTGCAGCACTGCAATGACTTTCTGACTAGTTAAGTGGAATTTCAAACTGCTGCAGCGACACTGTGAAATGTGTGGACATCTTGTCAGAATTGCTAATGGCTACTTACAGTATGTGCAGGCAATGGGAGAAATTCACCTGTCATGTACCTCTGACATATGCATAAAATGTCTCTTTCATTGAGACGATGACAACCCACTAGGGTTCAATGGCATCCATCTAGCTTCAGTATTCATTCCCGCTAACACTGAAGCAGTGAAAGTAAGTAGCATCTTCAAGATGCACTGCAACAACTCAGCAAGGGCCCTTTGACAGCATTGCTCAAACACTCAACATCTACCACTTGTAAGGACAGAAGTAGCAGACAATATGTGGGAATGCCACCAACTGCAAGGTCCACTCCAAGTCACCCACCATCCTGATCTGGAGCTTTATTAACATGCCTTCACATGCCTTGTGGGTCACAATCCTGGAACTCCCTCCCCAACAGCACTGAGTGTACCCACACTACCCCATGGACTGTAGCTGTTCAGGAAGACAGCTCACCACCACTTTCTCACAAGCAATGAGGGGTATGCAAGAAATGTAAAAGCTTTGATTGAACAGAGCTAGTTGAACAAGGATAACAGAAGAAGCTCCAAACAAACTGATTGGGCCAAATAACCTCTTTCTCAGCTGCTATTTTATGTAATTCTGTGCAAACTCCAATTTATTTGTGCCATTTCTTCAAGACAAATACTGGCTGATACAAAATATAAAATTCCCATGTGTGCAGTCATGGACACAGTTCTGGAGAAAAGCCATACAGTTATAGCAAATGCAAAATTCTAATCTTCAATTATCTGTATCCACCCTTGGGAGTACACATGTCTAGCACCAAAAAAAAAAAATTGCACTCCCAACATTGATATTATTCACCTCGAGTGCAGAATCTTCCCCCCCTCCCATCTCCATTACTCACTTTTTCTTAACCAACAGCACTCAACAAAAGTAAGTGGCTACACAAAGTTATAAATTAAATCCATTTAATGTGTTGAACAAATACATATATGCTTTGTATGACAACGTAAAGCAATTGCTTTGATCAAAAAGCTTCAGTTCTTGCTCCAGTCCACTAATTATTGTATCATTGCACTGTGGGTTACGGGAACATTCCAGCTAACAAACTACTACATAGCTACAGGGACAATTTTATTTAAAATAAAACAACTATTTTTTAAAAAACTCTTTCAACTATTTTAATAATTTTCTTTTCACCATTTCACGATATTAATAGAGAGAGTGTTTGTCCTCTGACAAAACAGTGACAAAGCAGAAATAGTACAGCACAGGCTTCCTCTTCTCAATCCTGCAATTAATGCGGGGGTTGTAGATTTTGTGCAACTATCTAAAACAGCTCATAAAAGAATCCAGAATTGTGGATAAAATTCACTGAAAAGTAAGAAGCACGTAATGTGAAATAGATAAAAAATGTAATCACTCAGCATAAGACTGATCAGCTCTAAGAATAAATCAGCGATTGGAGTATTAAATCTTCTGAAAGCTATTTTAAGAGATTTCTTTAATACAGGATAGCAACACAACAGCATAAAGCTTGGCAAGGTATGCTGTATCTATTATGCGACCAACATTAAAACCACAATTTCAGGAGCCTCAATCCTGTCAGATTTTAAGTAAAATTCAGAGATTTATTTCAGAAAATAGCATTTTGGGACAGTGCACAGGAATAATTTTGTACAAGTAATAACTGCATTGGTAGAGAAGAAAAGGCTGACTTTGGGCCTATGTGGTTCCAAAAGGTCACCGCCAGTAGGTTTTCCTTGAATTATGTAAAAGTTCCTTTGTAGACAAATTAATAGAAGTTGATTATTATGATCAGTCAATACCATTATTCCATATGACTACAAAGACAACAGAAAATGAAGTAGATGGATCCTAGGTTTCTGTCAGCAAGACATTCCTAATTTCCTTTCTTGAAAGGATTCTCTACTTTCTTAGACTTTATTAACAACTTTCATTACTATGGCATAGATGGAAATCTGTATTCAAACAGTTTGAAAATGTGTATTCTACCTTCCCTAGCTTCTAGCATTAGCCCTAAATATATTACCTCATAGGAACATTGGTACAAGGGTAAGCCAATTAGCATCTCCAGCACATTTCCCCATGCAATAACATCATAGGTGATCTGTTACCCAATATAATAAAACTGTCTTTGTCCAATGTACCTTAATACCTTAAAAATCTTTCAGTCTGATATTTTAAAATTAACAACAATCTGGTATTGTTTGCAGAAGGGAGTTAAGCTTTTTGACATACTGCATAATTTTATTTCAGAAGAAATTTGGCTCTAATTTAAAACTGCGCTTCCTGCAACTTCTAAGCAGTAAAAACATTCACACACCGCCAATTGACCATATGTTTCTCTTTAATATCTTAAAGTTCAATCAAGTTACCCCGTGACCTGAACTCCAGAGAATACGCCACCAGTTTGTGAAATCCACCATAAATTTAATCCTTGGAGTCTAGGCATCATTCTGATAAATCTACACTGTATTTCCCTCTAAAGTGAATATATCCTTCATAATGTGTGGCACTCATAGCTGTTTGTAGTATGCTAGTGGAATCAATGGTGAAGCATGAAGTATGGCTCCTGCCTCCTCCTCCTCTGCATACAAAGGTCAGCATTTCATTAGATTCTACACTGTAGGGATTCTATGATTAGCCTTGATTATTTCCTATACCTGATCATGATATTTAGGACAGGTTGTTGCAAAGGAATGGAGTGGTGGGGTGGTGAATAGGATGTGACATACTAATTCATGTCACTATCTTAAATTCCATAAAGAGCAAGCATTGGCCAAGGATTAAGCCATTCTTCTCAGAATAACACACAGATCAATAGGAGGAAAAAAAGTGAAATCAACAATTTAAACATGACCATCCGATCAAAACTTTTCAATTTTTATTTTAAACTGTCTCCAAAGATCACTGAATTAGAAATATTATCAATATCAAAGTATACAAACAACACTTACTGAAACGTTAAAATCAACTAGCAACTATGACAATGTATACTTTAAATGGCAAATCCGTGCGGTAAACAAGATCTGGATGCTTATTCTCTTTGAACGACGTCTTTCTTATTTACAGGTGTATGCATGGTTGCGAAATTAGCCAAGACATGCTTTAATACACAGCTAAATTATCTAAATATTAAATTACATTCAGACCTTTTCCTCCAACAGAATAAGTTTATCATTTTTCAAATGTCCTTTGCCGTCCTAGAGGAAAGCTGACTCAACGTTCAAATACATGTGACACCTCCGATCAGGTCTGTTTCAGTGTCTTTGGTTATGTTTGATGTTATGGTACTACAATTCTAACGCGAAAAACAAAAAGTTTTATTTATAGGACATTGATCCTTTAATGTTTCATCTGATTTGAAAGGCATATTTCTACCTCTCATTATAACCACTGATTTCTCTGGTATATCTCGTGTAGTATAGTACTAGTCCGCGCACAGACGCATCAGTCTTACCTCCTATGACCAGTTCGCATTCCCGTCTTTGCGTCTATGTCGAGGTCGTTATCTCTTCCTTTACTATTTGCTGCTTTGTGGCTATGCTTCAAGCTTGGTGTAGATTGTACCGAGTCCTTTTGCAGGGTCGTGACGGTCGTGTCATGTTCTACTATCAGGGAATTATTCCTCTTTCGCATTACTAGAAGAGGAAAACGCGAACAGCCACCTCTATTTAGGAGAGATGAAAGGAAAAATAAAGAGCTGCAGGCGAAGCGCTGAAAGTGGAAATCAACTGCGTTAGCGCAGACTTCAATCTCCGAGGGTTTTGGTTTTTCGAAAGGCACCCGGTTTATTACATTGTTTGCAGCGACTCCCACAGCTTGGAATCAGCTGATCAGTCACAACCTCCAACCTCTCACCCGTTTGGAGGAAACACGCCTCCTATGTTTTAAGGAGTCAATGTATCAAATTAAGCATTCATTTTTCAGGCAAGCAGGCCGGAAAAAGTCACTAAATATTTGAGCTTCTGAGAGGAAGCTTTAAAAAGAATCTCCCAGCTGATTTCTGCGAACTGGCATTTTATGAAAATGTCAAAAATATACTGCATGAACCGTCTGGGAGCAAGTTGCAAGTCAATTGGGAGTGTAGTACGAGTATTCAATTAAAATGATGTGTAGCACAGACTTAATTACTCTAGTCTATCCTTGCTATCAAGAGGGTCCGTAAGTACAGGATGCCGCTTTAAGGTAATTTGCAAAATAACCAAAGAGCTTTTATTTTGTGCAAAGGTATGAACTGTAATTCACTGCCGATCAGGGTGGTGAAAATAGATACAATAGTAACTGTCAAAAAGATATCATCGGTTATTGAGAAAAGAAAAAAATATTGGCCATGTCGAAACAGCATATGACTCTGAATGTAATTTGCCATCACGCAGTTTCCTTGATTTCGGTTAGATGGAAGAATAATTACACTCCCATAATTTATCGTCTAAGTTATTATGAGAAAGATTTATTGATCAGTATGCGAGTTAAGTGCTGATACAAAAAGCAAGGTGCTAAAATTACAGATTAATAACTGAACAAATTTGAATTTAAATAGAAGCTTTCACAACCTGCATACATTATGAAGTGCTTGCAGACAAGGTACTTTTGAACAGCAGTCACTGTTGAAATGGAGGAAATATGTAGCTAATCTGTGCACAGCAAGGTCCCACAAGCATCAAATTATGCAAATGATCAGATTTCTCTGCATTAGTTGAGGGATAATTATTGGCTAGATAACCAGGTGAAGCAGCCTAGAACTCCAGCTTAATTTTACACATTTACAAGATTTATTTACACCAATACATATTACAAACATACATCCCAAATGTAATCAACCATAATTTCTGTTCCACCCCATTATCGTAGAAAGCCAAATCAACCCCCAGTTTATGCCCATCACCTGGATACAATTTCTATAGCCAATTATGATACAATTAACTCAAAGTATCAAGGGAATACTTTGAAAGCCTTTGAGAAGGATAGAGTGGAGCGTATTAGTTCCCCCTCCAATCCTATTTCAATTGAATCCCCTCCCTCTCATCCTAACCTCCCTGTTTTTGTTATTGCTGCTTGTTAATTGTTTACTTTGTCAAATGGTTGATTTCATGGTGGTTATATTAAAAGAAAACCCACGTTTTTTTGTAATAGTGCCAATGGATCATTTACATTCACCTGAGAAGGCAGGTGTTCTATTGGAAAGACCGATTTTCCTTGGATTATTGAAAGTAAAGTTGCATTTACGCTCAACATAAATCTGACCATTGTTTATGTATTGTGGACTTGTTTGCTACCGGGTAAGCTCTAATCTGCTACGTCACTCTCGACAACTGACTGAGTAAAAGCTGTGCTTAAAAATACATTCAAAATCCTTTTATAGAGATGTACCAAAACAAATTCATTTATAAATTGTACTTCTCGATTATATTATGAAATTCAAAATGATGATTGCCAGACCAATTAAAAATGAACTGAACGATAGGATTGAAAGTTTTTTTGTTTCTTCGCAGCTATGTCAGGCGAACCAAATTTAATAGTGTACACTAGCTCCTCGAATGACTTTAACATGGGGAAGTCTGTTGTCTATGGCTACCATATGGTCTGACTAGAAAACTCTCCCATTCTTACAGTTTGCCTTAAGCATATCAAAAGGATTCACATATTAATAACTACTGTATCTTGTTTTCCCAGGTAATGACATACTTTCATGGACGTCAAGTCTTAAGGTGGGAATTGAACCCACAACTTCTAGCTCAGAGGTAAGGACACTACCAATATGTAACAAGATCTCTTCAAGCCAGTATCATCTAGGAAGTTAAGTGGAAAGAAATGTTTCTTAGAAATAATGTGTTTGAAGTGACCTTTTGCATGCCAGAAGGTAATGTACATTCTCATCAGTATGAGAAAGTATAGAGCAGCGTTTGAATAGAATGCCAAACCCCTGTTGAAAGATCTTAAAATTTAAGAGATTTCCTGCTTTTAAAAAAAGTGAACAAAACATTCCATTCATCAGTTTATCCGATACTATCCTGTCAAGCAATCAGTAGCCGAAATGTAATGCCTTAGAACATGATTTCATCTCCTTTACCTGCTGCTTATTGATGTGGAGATCTCCATCGATAAGTTGAGCTTTAAATTCCAGGTTGAATTAACCATCAAAAATACCTGTTTCTGCATGTGTGACATCATTCCTATTAAGCTCTCAGCTATGCCTATGTTACCTTAAGGCAGGATTCTTATTTCAGTTTCTCACTACAGAAACTCTAATTCCTCTTAATAATTCCAAATACTACAGATGCTTTAAATTTGAAATAAAAACAGAAAATAAAGAAAGTCAGCAGGCCTGGAAACATCTGTGGAAATAAATGAAATTTAACATTTCAGGCCCAAAGACTCTTCTTCAGAACTCAGAAGTTCTGAGGAATGGTCACCAGACCCGAAACATTAACTCTGATTTTTTCTTCACAGATGCTGCCAGACCTACTGAGCTTTTCCAGCAACTTCTGTTTTTGTTCCTGATTTACAGCATCTTCAGTTCTTTGTTCTTCTTCAGAACAGTTTCTCTCTCTACCAATGCTGCTAGATCTGTTGAGTTTCTCCAGAATTTTCTGTTTATTTCTAATTCATCCTATTTTGCTCAAAATCCAACAAGACCTTTCATCCACTATTTTTGCCATTTCCACAAGTTTCCCATTATCTGACACTGACTGCAAATCTTCAACCATGACAGGAGCTATTATTGAGACAGCATTAGTTAGAATACTTAAACCACGTGATCACAATAAGTGAAACAAGTTATTTCTGGATGGTAACTTGTGACTGTGGGACCTAAAAAGGTTTAGCTAGGATAGGTCGGATAGCACCAATAAATCAGCTCATTGTCTCCTACAAGGTATAGGAGAGAAGTTTGGTGGATAGTAGTCAACTCAGAAAATCATGGGTATGGGTCTGAAGACCTCTTTCCAATCCTGAACATATTAATCATAAACCTATGTACACAAGTGTGTCAGCAGAGTGTAATAAGTGCTAACTTGGGAATTAATTGCATAAGGGAAAACAGATGTTGCTTTTTCACTTTTTTTTTTCCCCCAGAAGCTGGTGAGTGTTCAAGGTTTGCTGATGTTATTCCTGTAAAAGCGGATAGTAGGTTAAACCGATACCATGGAGACTGATGCATTGCATTAGATTTATAGCTTAACTAGCTATACTACTAGATATGTCCCTGGATTACTTACTGAAGACAAATTTGGCACAGAGTTACTAAGTTTAAGAGCATTGAATTGGCTCAAAGATTAATGTAGAAGGAATACATTTAAATTTGAAGAGAGTTGGTGTCAGTGCTGGACAAAAAGGGAGCAGTACTGTACAGACAAGCCTTCTCTTCAGCTACACTGGGCCAACATCTTGCTAAATTATACAAGAAGGACTGTAGAGTAGGTTTTCAGCTAAAAAGGACAGTTGGGAGGGGTGGGGAAAATAGGGTTTACATGAAGGGAAATTTAGAAAGTTATGGAGGAAGTAAAATAAGGCAATACTACAGAGATTGGGATAATTATTAAACACTGACAGGAGGGGACAGGGCATACAGGCATTGTTAGTACACTAACAGATGAGGAAAAGGGAAAAAATGGTAAAAAGGCAGAATGAATGACTAACTGAATGCGCACAGCATTTGTGAAATGGACGAATTAAAAGCACATCCCAGACGAGCCCTCATTACTTGCCTTCATTTTGGGTGGCACAGTGGTTAACACTGCTGCCTCATAGCGCCAGGTACCCGAGTTCGATTCCACCCTCGGGTGACTGTCTATGCGGAGTTTGCACATTCTCCCCGTGTCTGCGTGGGTTTCCTCCCACAGTCCAAAGATGTGCAGGTTAGGTGGATTGGTCATGCTAAATTGCCCGTAATGTCCAGGGGTGTGTAAATTAGGTGGATTAGATATGGGAAATGAAGGGTTAGGAGGATGGGTCTGGGTGGGATGCTCCTTCCTTCGAAAGGACGGTATGGACCTGTTTCCACGCTGTAGGGATTTTTCTATGAAGTAGAAACAAATGGAACATGATGGGTTGCCAGTGGCGGAAGAAAGGGGTAGTTAGAGCGCAAGGCTCTCCTCGAGTTCGCCAGTTGGGTCTCGCGCTGAGGGAGCCGTTTGACTGAGACGCTCGAGCCGGAAGGGAAAAGCAAAATCAAACGGTGAATCTGTTGTACGGGAGGGAGGCATAAACGAAGAGGGAACTACACATTTTTTAAAAAAAAAAAAAAATCAGTTGACCACACGTACCTTTTGTAGGAACATTGAGTAGATATTGTTCGCTGTTTATACTTTACAGTGAAGCTGTTTTTCTCCTGGGGGAAGTGACGGAGGTGACTGCCAGCTCTTCACCTTCCTGATTGGCCCCGACGACACCGCGGTCTTTGGTCGGTTTTGGCGGGGGTTTGGATGGAAGATTTTTGCTCCATGTTTTACAGCTCATCGGTTTTTGTTTGTAGAGGTTTATATACAATACTGTTTGCTCCTTCCCGGAATAATGTTTTGTGAAAAAGCCATAGAGTTAATCCGAGAGCTCCAACGAGCTGCGGACGGTCAATTGCCCGCTTTTAATGTGAGTAATGTAGTATTTTCCAAATAAATCTTTAAAATATTAAAAGTGAAACACTAATCTATCTCCGAAGAAATGTTATTGGGCTGGAGACTTTAACTTTGTTTTTCTGTCTAGGGATGCTGCCGGATCTGCCGAGTTTCTCGAGTGCTTTCTGTTGTTTTTAATACCCAATCCTTTTTACTATTGTTTAATCGTGCAATAACCAAGGACGGGACAAATAATGATGTTGAACAATAAAACCGCGATTGAATTGGTAGTGAGGGAGAAGGTTATAGGTTCGAGAGTGGTCAAGTGGACAGATTTTTTGTTTGGTGTGGGGAAGAATCAATGCGAGGAAATCTGTCGGAATGCAGTTGGGCAAGACCAAACGAGGCAACGGACTGCGCAGTAAATAGTGGGATATTATGAATTATAGAGGACCAAAGGAGACTTGGCGTGCTTGCCTCGATCCCTGAAAGAAGAAGGACGGGTTTCATAAAGCATATAGTGGTATGTCATTCCAATAGGATTTCAGATCCATATTGTTTTCATGTCCATGTATATCTACAGTACAGTGCCACGTAGAATCATAGAATCCCTACAGTGTGGAACCAGGCCGTTCAGCCCATCAAGTCTACCCCAACCCTCCGAAAAGCATCCCACTCGGATCCACATCCTTGCCCTAATCCCACAACCCTGCGTTTCCCACGGCCAATCGACCTAACCTGCACATCTTTGGACTGTGGGAGAAAGCCAGAGCAACCTGAGGAACCTCTCTCATTCACGGGGAGAATGTGCAAACTCCGTACAGACAGTTGCCCAAGGCTGGAATCGAACCCAGATCCCTGGTGCTGTGAGGCAATGGTGCTAATCACCGTGCCACCCAGTAATGATAGAGAAGATTTCACAGAAACCTCAACTCTGGTGGGAGTCATACCCACAACCGTTGAACAGCACATTTCACCGTTGTCTTGGGAGTCCAGCAGGCTCTCCACTGCGCCACAGAGCTGCATCTCTCACAATCTAAATCATATATGAACACCAAGCTTGTACTAGGAGGAACCTGCTTTCTTTAGCATAGCTATAACTAGGGAACACAGATGCCAAGTAATTGGCAGAAGGATTGGAGGGGAGTTGAGTTTTTTGAATTCAGAGTATTTGGAACCGTGAGGGGATCTGCAAGTCTGCCTGAAAGGGGAAGGAAAGGTTAATAGCTTCAATAAATTTTGGAAGCAGTTGGATACCTACTTGAGTTTCCATTATCTACAAGGCTATAGAACAAGGGTACTTGTTAAGGGAAAAAATGTTTCTTTCATTTGGGCCATGGACATACTTGGAAAGCTTTCCCAGATATCTGCACCCTTTGAATCTTAGAACATATCTAAAATAAGAAAAATGATTATACCATGAATGATAATGACTAAGGATGCAGCAGAGAAAGAGACCTGGGGTCATAATATGTCTAAAACACTACAGCACAGCAATGAATTAGGTAATTCAAAGCCTGAGTTACAAAAGTAAAACAATAGGAGCATGTTCTATTCACATCTGCCTTAGATATTTTGTGGTATGATCATTCATATAAGTGGCCCAAAGATCCTTGTGTTCCTGTTAATGTTGATAAATATCTAATTGTACTGTATATCAACACGAAGGGTGTAAAATTCAGATCCCTTGTGGAACAAAGATGTTAGCTAGTTCCCATCACATCATTTTCCAGTTTTCTTTTTATAGCTTTGCTGAGAAATTCTTACAGTCAAATCTTCTAAGTTGTTTTATTCCAGTCTGCTCAATCTCCCTTCCCCTCAGAGTCAAAAGAAAGAATAAATCACGCGCTAAGAATAGAAGTAGGCCATTCAGCCCATTGAGTCTGTTCTGTCATTTAATGAAATCTTGGCTGATCTGATAATCCTTCACTCCACTTTCCTGCCTTTTCCTCATAACTCATGATTCATTTACGAATTAAATATCTATCTCTGCCTTAACGACTCAATGACCCTGCCTCCCCAGCCTTTTGTGGTAAACAACTGTGAACATTCTCCACTTCTGAGAGAAGAAATTCCTCCTTATCTGCCCTAAATGGTCAACCTATTATTCTGAAATTATGCCCTTTGACCCTAGACTCTCCCACAAGGGGAAACAACTTTTCCACATCTACTCTGTCAAGTCATTTAGGAATTTTGTATGTTTCAATAAGGTTGTCTCTCATTCTTCTATATTCTAATGAGAACCAGCCCAATCCTTCCATACCTCTGAACTGCCTCTAATGCCAGTATATCCTTCCTGTTCACAGTATTCCAGCTGTGGTCTGACTAGTACTTTGTATAGTTGTAGGAAAACCTCTTTACTTTCATTCTCCATTTCGTTTGAAATAAAAGCCAATATTTCATTTGCCTTCCCATTACCTACTGAACTTGGATGCTTGTTTTTTGTGATTCATGGACAAGGACTACTAATTTCTTCTGTTCCATAGTTTTTTGCAGTCTTTCTGCATTTAAATAATATTCAGCTCCTCTATTCTTCCTGCCAAAGTACATGACTTCACATTTCCATATTATAATTCATCTGTCAAGTTTTTCCCATTTGCTTAACTTGTCCACATCCCTCTGCAGACTGCCATCTTCACTGCTTGCCCACCTATTTTTGTGTCAGAACTTGATTACAGTGCATTCACTTTCTTCATCCTTAATATATATTGTAAATAATTGTGGCCTCCAGCAATTGTAGCACACCACTGGTAACAGGTTGCCATTCTGAAAATGCCCCTATATCTGAACTCTATCTACTATTAGCCAGTCCTCTATCCATGCTAATATACTACCTCCAGTACCATGGTCTCTTGTCTTATTAAGTAGCCTAGCATGTGGCACCTTTATTTTGTCCCTTCCAAAATCCAATTATATTCATAGAATCCCTACAGTGTAGAAGCAAGCCATTCGACCCATCAAATCCACACTGACCCTCCGAAGAGCATCCCACCCAGATCCACACCTCCACTCCCCAAAATCCCTGTAACCCTGCATATCCCATGGCTAACCCACCTAGCCTGCACACTATGGGCAATTTAGCATGGCTAATACACCTAACCAACACATCTTTGGATTGTGGAAGGAAACCAGAGCACCTGGAGGAAACCCACGCTGACCCTGAGAGAATGTGCAAACTCCACGAAGACAGTCACCCAAGGGTGGAATCGAGCCTGGGTCCCTGGTGCTGTGAGATGTCAGGGCTAACCACTGAGCCACCTCACCATTGCCATGGATATTACATCCTCAGTTTCCCTTTTATCTATCTTGCTTGTTACCTCCTCAAAGAATTCTAGTTGATTTGTCAAGCATGATATCCTCTTCATGAAGCCATGCTGACTCTGCTTGTTCGAATTACGCACTTCTAAATGCTCTGCTGTTACATCCTTCATAATAGACATTAACATTTCCCCAATAACAGACATAAAGCTAACTGGCCTATAGTTACCTGTTTGGTGTTACATTAGAAGTTTGCCAATCCTCAGATTCTGGGAAAATTACTACCAGTGCATCTACTGTCTCTGTAAGTACTTCCTTTCGAATCCTAGGATGCATACCATCTGGTTCACAGGCAGCTCAATAGTTATGATTGCTGCCTCATAGCACCAGGGATCTGGGTTTGATTCCAGCCTTGGATGACAGTGTGGACTTTGCATGTTCTCCCCATATCTGCTTAGGTTTCTTTTGGATGCTCTGATTTCCTCCCACAGTCCAAAGAAATGTAGGTTAGGTGGATTGATCATGCAAAATTGTCTGTGGTGTGCAAGCCACATGGATTAGCCATGGTAAAGGTAAGGTTATGAAGGGTAGATGCTGGGTCTGGGTGGGATGCTGTTCAGAGGGTCAGTGCTGACTGCCCGAATGGTGGCTTTCTGCAACATAGGGATTCTGACTTATCGGTTTTTAGCCTCACTAGCTTCCCCAGTGCTTTTCTTCTAGTGTTGGTTATTGTTTTTTCTTCCTTTCTTCCTTTTGTCTCTTGACTATTTAGTAATTTTGGGTGCTATCAGGGTCTTCTACTCTAAAGAGACATGCAAAGTATTTCTTCAACTCCTCTGCCATTTCCTGGTTCCCCATTACTATTTCCCCAGCCTCATTCTGTAAGGGGCCAACTACTTGCCTCTTAAGTTAGTGTTCTGATATTCAAATATCCTGGGATACACTCTTGTAGTTGCTTGCTTAAATCTTGATTACACCCAGGCATGGTATTATTTTCTTTGTAATTTTTTATCCCTGAAAGCAAAGTGTCATGTGTGTTTACATGAACAGAGTTTTTCTTGCCACGTTGTTTATGAAGAATTGTTGATCATTTAGGACAGGATAACAAATTGCTGTCTGATATGGCTGGGATCTGACAGTTGACCTTCATTGTAGCAGTTTGTCAAAGGTTTAACTGTAGCATTCCACCAGCTGGCCTTAATATACTATTTCAATGCCTGCAACCTCTACCATTCTTCTAAAATTTTCAAATTCACTTGTTTAAAGCATACTTTTCAATTTGCATGATAGAAAATGATCTGAAGTATAACTTGAAATAAGTCATCTCAAGCTACTTCATGCTTTGGTGAGACCCCGCAGGAGTAATGTCCAGTCCTTGCTATCTACAAATAACTGCCACATCAAAGTACTGGATAATCTTCAAAGAAGAGTGTTGCAGATTCCTCGTGTCAAGTAACTGATGTGTAATGAAAGTTATGAGAAATGTGGGTTTTTCCACCTTGAAAAGATACAACTTAGAAGTAGCGTTAGAACAATGTGTGCATGTGTATCATAATATTTTATGTTTCCATAATTCTCTTGTGCAATCTTTACTTCCTGTTTCCATATTTTTGCCACAATTCTGCAGTTTTGAAATGGTAATTTTTCCAAGTTTTTTTTATTTTTGTTGTAATGGAAACTATTGACACAAAATTGTTTTTCTAGCTGCTGCATCCTTTTTTATTGCTGAAAAGACACATTTTGCCAAAGCTTTATGTCTTCCTCTCACCAGATGGT